ACTGTGCCCTAAAAATTGAATTTTCCAAGTTTAAAATGTATTTGTCAGCGCTATAAAACTACTCATTTTTAAGGGAACTCCATCGAGGTCCAATGGCCTAAAATCATGTTGAAATTCTTTCATAATTTAATTTCAATTGGTACATGTGAAATGGAAAACTATGCAATATATAATATATCAATACTGCATAGCCGGTGTAAAATTGATAATTGATGTTCATGCGATTTATTGGCCGATTTGAGTGAACAGCATTGCAACGGTAAATTATGTACAATAAAACTGATAATAACTGGGAATGATCTGAAATTTGTACATGAGCTATTTGTTAAGACCTATATCCAGTTATACAAAATGCCTTGAAAAAACCCCATTTTTTCAGTCACTTTATGTATAAAAAAAACACAATGGAGTCCCTGTAAAACATAATGCCTGATTTTGTGCCTTAACTAGATTTTTCCAATTTCATTTCTAATCATTATAAATTGCTTTATTTCAGAGACATGCTAATGCGCGTAAGTAAATATTTTATCTAAAAATTGCCAAGTGATGAAAAGTTAGAATAAAATTTATCTCATATAATTTTGTAGGGTATGTCATGTGTAAAATAGATTATTATATTTGTCTCACAAATGTAAAAGATAAACCAGTTGTTATCTTACTTATGGTAATAAGTTGATCGTAAAATTTTCGCTACTTTTTACTGAATTAAAGGAATCGTTACCAATAGAACGTCAGTCAAATTCATGTATAAAATGTTTTTATGAGTCAGTCTACTATATGTGTGTATATACATGTACATGTATATAATATCATATAATAGTAATAATGAAAATTATAAAAATGATAAAGTCTTGTGGTCCTTTACAAAGATTGTTGAAATTTCGCTCCTAAGATCAAAAGGGGCCCTGCTTGCTTGTATTCACGGCATGGCTCAGGTGAGCGACCAAGGGCCAAAGTGCCCTCTTTTTCTCCGTTTTGTATATTTTTTTTAACTTTACAGTATTAGTTAGTCGAGCATATCAACTCTAGCACTCTTGAACTTTTTTAATGGCAGTTTGGGTATTTTTGCGTTAAGAATTGTAATGAACGAAATTGGTTAGAATTGTAAGGAAAGAAAACCTTAATGCCACACTTTTATTATTTGTTACTTAAAAAGACGGTGATATAGTAATATACTTCCGTATTACACCTGAATGAGAATTTTACTTTGCCTGTGCAAATAGAAAACCTGTGTTATGAGTCATCTTGACACCAAATATTGTATTTAAGTTGTTTTTTTTATCACACGGCTTTAAACTTTCAAAAGGGGGAAGTTAAAATGGATTTCACACAAAAAAGGCTGTTTTATTTGTATTTATATGATATGTAATTGTTATGTTGTTTTTTGAAAAAAATAAATTTGCCCGTTTCAATCAACCATGATTATGCCATACATAGTCCAAATGGCTACACTATAAACAAAGCACATAAGTTACACTAAAATGACTTGATGATAACGACAAGAATAGAAAATAGTTTTAGGACATCCGGGCCGAGTGCTTCAAACCGCTTGCCCCTCACCGCTGTGGGTTCGAATCCAAACAGGGACTTTGGATCCTTTCATCTGAGGAAGCTATCCACCGTCGGTGGTTCACGGAATGGCACCCTAAAATGTGTCGGAATGACGTAAAACAAACAAACAATAGGTATATAATTATAGTTACTAGACCAAATACTGAAGTCATTTTATTTGAGACCCTGTCATGGTATCACACACTAGCTTAAGATTTATTTTAAATGTATATTTCATTTGTATCATAGTTTGGAGACATTTCTGTTGAAAATGTGACAGAGTTAAATCGTATAGATACATATACATGCACAGTGCGTTAACTGGAGTGCAGGTATTAGTTACCCGCACTCCAGAGCATGCCCATTGATTGGTTCAATTTGTCCGGGGTTTACATTTTGTGACGACAGAGAAACAGATTGCGATAGAAATCATATTCAGATGCTCGTTCATTGGTTACTTTTTTGTGGGGTTTCATATTGTGGTATCAAGGAACGTGCTTTTATGTTTGACTATGATACAAAAGAGAAAGAACATCAAAACACTCGGCAATCTGATTTATACTCGGGGGCTCTGCCCCCTCGTAGAAATCAGATAGCCTCGCGTTTCAATGCTCTTTCTATTTCATTGATGACTCTCTTTTACATTCAATTATTTTTACATGCCAAAATGGTTTCGTTAAGGGCCTTCTAGAAGATACAATTATGTTCGAATGAGTTATTTTGTTAAAACAGAGTTTTATATGATTGTAATCTTGCAATGCGTGTCTACTTAATCCTGATCTGTGAACATGTACGGTGCTAGCAACACCAGGTAAGCTCAATTGGTAGAGCGTTGGCCTGTGAATCGAGAGACCCGGGTCCGATTCCCGGAAAGTTTAGGTCATTTTGTGATGATTGGTCATGAAATCCTTCGATGTACCTCTGCTCTGGCATGTACACAAGTAACTGGCAGTTCCTTGCGAAAGTGAAGACATTTAGTACTGGGAAACTGCTTAGCAGCCTGTCAAACTATGAACGGTGTTGTGGCTGAGCTCTGCTCTGGTAAATTCAATGTGGCTTTCTACCATGACCCGGAGGGTAAACGAACGTTAGGTTTTAAAACAAGTAGCAATTGTAGTCTGTTCAATCCCCATCCGAAGAGGAGAAAAAGTGCAAAAAGAAGATTAAAGAAAGTACATGCATGTACACTTTTAAATACAACTTAACAAATCAAAGGTAATAAAGCCGAGATATGAGAGCTATTCAATAATGAAGTTTTAAGCTGACATCTTTTTATAATTTTGAGCTATATAGCATTGACTAAAATATAGAAAATTGCTTATATGCATTGAAAATAACATAACATTCATAACATCAAAAAGTTATGAATTGGACAGCTGACATCCTTGCCATTGCATTCTTCCTTACTGTGTTCTACCTTTCAATATGATCTGAACAAAACTATTGAAGAAAAGAAACAAAGGTGCAACACTTCGAAATAATAAAGTGAATGATTATTATACGTGTACGTTCAATCCTCTTGAATGAGATCAATCCGCCTTTGAGTTTCAAGTTGATATCTCAGATAAATTGGTTCTGTTTAAAAGCTCATTATGTACAAGAATTGCTTTTTTGTGTGTCTTGTTATAGGTTCCAAAACGATACTTGTTGGCCAAGTACCTGATATTGCTATCTGCGAATATGTAAAGTTACAGTGATTTAGTTTGGGGCTTCCCTTTAAGAAGATTTATGAATGGTATCGATTGAAAATACATTTGTTTTGGAAAAGTAATTCCGGTTAGGTGGTTTCCTTCAGTATGATAGAAAGATATTTTTATTTCCTCCACGTGGGAGAGCCAATGTATATATTTTTACGATTGATTATTTTCTTTATTAGTTTTATACAATAGAGAATAGATTTCAAATCGTTTTTGACAACAAAAATATTCGTTTTTACAAAAATAAAGTTGTTACTGTTATCGTCAGCATGTTCCGGTTCAGTTATAATCAGTGGATTTCTGGTCCTTGTTTTGTCCAAATTTGCATGCATTACACTGGTGGCACAAATGGGCACAGGTGCTCGTTCAGTCTTACCCCTTTAAAAGTGAAACATTTTTTTCGAGAAAAAAATCCTTAATAAACCCTTAATGATATACAAATAATTAAAAAAAAATAGTGATAATAAATTTACCCTCTATACCTGTAAAAACATAGGTACCTTGTTTTTTACTGGTATATAAGGTCAATTTATTATTATTTTTTATAATCATTTCTTTATCATAAAGAGTTGATTTAGGAGTTTTTTAAAAAAAAATCATTTTAAAGGGATGGGATGATGGCACAAACATTATTACCATTCAGGAAGGTATCAATCATAGTGTGAAAAATAATAAGCCAGTAAGAACCTGTTTATACCCCCTCCCCCATCGCCGTTTTTCGGCGGCTGGAATATGATAATAGTCTCCTTGCATTTTTCCGTCCAGAACATAACTCGAAATGTATCGAAACTTTATAGGCGGATAGATCTCATTTAGGAAGAACGCACTGTACAAGAATAGTAACTCTGGTCTTTATAATTTAAGTGTTATTTTCCTTTGTTTTTTTTATATTGCTTACATTTTGTCAGGAGCATAACTAGAAAAGTTTTTGAGAAATCATTTTAAAACGTTATATGTGGATATATAAATATTGAAAGTAAACGGTTGTGAAAATAATCGCAAAGTTTGAAGTAAGAAATCCGGACAACCACAATCTCTTCCTGTATTGACTATCAAGTGAGCTAGATTTTAATCTTAGGTGACAATGTAGTATTACAAACGTTTGAGATAAGACATTTGAAGTCACTACTTATTAATGATATGAAATATGATAAATAAGATCAACAAGGAAAAGCGGCATTCAATGAACGCAACCCCCACCCGAACATGTAACAAGAGCCAGTGTAATATATACCATGTAATTTATCACAGTTCCGCTCGACATCAAATATTATGAGATTTATTCGGAAGCGGAGAAAATGAACTTGGTATATAGATGGCAACGGTTGAATTCTGAGTTTTAAAAGCAAAGTTTTAAATTTGGCTGTTATTGCATAAAGCCGATAATAGGTTTGAAACAATTTTGTTATAATTTTATATTGCGTTAATAGGTTGTCGTCAGGAAAGAAAATGCTTGTTTTCACAGAATTATATTTAGATTATTGTTATCGTTTATTATTAATATTGTAATTACTTCTGCGTTTTTATCATTATAATATCCATTTTCAACAGTTTCTACAAAGTTAAAGTAAAATTAACATACAAAAAAAATCAGTGTTATAAAGTTTCACGGTATTTCTTATACATGCATATGCAAATGTAAGTTCAAAATAAATATTCGTAGATGACAACTTACACCACGAACATTCTCTTACAGTGCTTCACTGCATACCTTTCACGGGACCCAAGGAAAATGACGAATATCAGGTATTCCTTACAACCGGGGACCAATCAAAGAAACTTTCCTGGGAAACTCCATGTCAAGTGTCATCATCACATAATGGTTACAGTGTTTGGGTTGACAGGACGAAAACGAGACAAACAATAGAAGGATTTGGCGCGGCGCTCACTAATTCTGCTGCTTATGTAATTTATCACAGTTCCGTTCGACATCAAATATTGCGAGATTTATTCGGAAGCGGGGAAAATGAAATTGGTAAATAGGTGGCAACAGTTAACTTCTGAGTTTTAAATGCAAAGTTTTAAATTTGGCTGCTTTTTTTCGTTTTTTTAAGGTTTCCATTTTTTTATGTTTTGAAGATACCAAAATCAGTTTATCAGTTTTATGTTAATGCTGCTCGTTTCTTACTTACAGTAACTGCTGTTCATAATTCATGGTTTCTCTTCCAGAAATATATATTTAAAACATATTTTAAGATGATTTTATTTGCAGTTAGTTTGAAATATGAACTTTTTATGAATGAATTAATTCACATCGTATGTAGGATACTTTTATTTAATATATTTCATTGAAGGTGTAAGTTATTTGCGGCTACCAATGGGATGTTCTGATTTAAATGCTGTTGCACCTTACACGTATAATGATATTCCGAGTGGACAAACGGATTTCAATCTTAACCAGTTCAGCATCAACAAAGATCGTGCATTTGTTATACCAGTTTTAAAAGAAGCCTTATCGATCAACCCGAACTTAAAAATCATGGCCACTCCTTGGTCAGCTCCAGCTTGGATGAAGAACAATCGTAACCTAAATGGTGGAGACTTTATTGATAGTTGGAACTACTGGCATACATATGCTCAATATTTTGTAAAGTTTATTGAAGCTTACAGATCAGAAGGTATAAATATTGAATCACTTACTGTTCAAAATGAGCCACTGCTGTCACGTGATGACTACCCGACAATGAAAATGAGCGCTGACCAACAGACGGCTTTTATCAGAGATCATTTAGGACCGTTGTTTAAACAACGTGACATTCACACCAAAATTCTTGCCTTCGATCACAACTGGTCAGATTCATGGTACCCAGAGCAAGTTGTAAGCGACGGTAATGTTTAATATTTCTAAAACATAGGATACTAGTATATTCATTGTAGCGTTAATTTTATTTGAAAATCATTATCTGTGAGAGATAACGATTACCGAATGCTACAACAGCATTTATCTAACTTTTATCAATTAAGATATGTCCTAAAACGTTTATAAAACTTTACATTTCTTAATGGTAAAAGAGGCCTCCGTGCATTAAATGTACTCGAATTTGACCCTAAAACTTGTAGTTAATTCATGAAGATCAAAAGGACTTATTCTGGATGCAATTAGTTTATATACGCATATATGACATTTAAAATAATGGTAACTTGAATAAATGCACAATTTTACTCTCTAATATGCGTGTAACACATTGAAAATTGATTGGTATATTTTAATAACGTTGTGAGAAATTTTATTTTCAAGTTCACTAGAGATTATCGTTTTCTTGCAGGCAATGCAAAGCAGTATATTTCTGGGGTAGCCTGGCACGGATATGATGGAAGACACGACACACCGAGTGCATTTCATGACAAATTTTCAGATGTTGGTGAGCGTTGTTTATGTCACACGAATTAACTGCATAAATAATGCAACATTTGTATTCCTTAACATATATTAAACTTTAATATGGAGATAGACTTATTCATGATTGACATCGATGCAATGATATTTTATACAGTTTACTGCACCTTTAAAAAAACATTTTTGAAATTTGATTATCTATTAAACAGCAAAACGTGATATACTACATGTAATATTGTGTTAAAGTTATGTTGATTTTGTTTTTATTACTGATAAAGTGTCGTTATTTAACATATTTTCTTCTAGATAATTATTTCACGGAGATATCTGGTGGATCATGGGATACAAATTTTGCTAGTATTCTGACTTGGGATATGAGAATAATCTTTATTGGTCAAACAAGGAACTGGGCAAAAACTGCACTCCTATGGAGCATTGCCCTTGATCAGAATCATGGACCAAAGGTACATGTATATGCATATTTAAATTTAATATGAGCTGAAGATAGTTTGAGTTGTTGTACATGTACAATGCAGCCTCCACAAATCGGCCCTCTGTAAGACAATCACCTCTACAGCAATAGTTTCAATAATTCCCAGAGTAAGATATAACTTATATAATACCGCTCTAGAACTACACCTCCCAGAAACAACCAAATTTTTGTTTCCCAAAGGGTGTTGCTTTGTAAAGGTTGAACTGTACCATTAGAAACGAACTATGGCGGTAAAGGTTCAATGCTAAGGTTTAGCTGGATGAATTTTGTTGCATTTTTAAATCATCGATTGTATACATGTATCAAGTACATTTACTAAAAAGTAAATGTACATTGTATATACACGATATAATTCCATAGAAAATTTTCATGACACAAACCTTGCTGACAAAAACGTTTTGTTTTAAACCTTTTTCAAGTTTAAATGTATATATTGCTACTATGTGAAATTTTATACAATTAAGAATAAAATATACTTTCAGGTAGCAAACCTTGGAGGATGCGATGATTGTCGAGGTGTAATTACAGTGCAGAACAACAACTACACAAAGAACGCGGAATATTATGCTCTAGGTCACATGAGCAAGTTTGTCAAGCCTGGTGCAGTACGTCTAGAATCAAACTACATCAGTTGGGATGACCTTCGGACGGCTGCGTTTGTAAATACAGATGGTAGCACTGTTATTGTCGTTTCCAACCCAAGCTCGAGCAAGTCTGCAACCTTTTCGCTAGATATTGATGCCAAGCATTACCAATATAATAACTTACCTCCGCAGTCTGTAGTTACATTTGTGAAGGAAGTACAGAATTAAAATAGACTCATAGTCATATACATATAGTACTATTAATTTTTATAGCTGAACAAAAGTTGTTTTCTTTTTTTACTGAAAAAAAAAGCTTGGCACATACTTTCTCTCCAGAAAACACAACAACTTTGCTCTCTATTTGTAGCAGGAGAAGGCTACTCCCGAGGCGAGATGTTGTTGTGTTAGCAAGTTTTTCTATCTATTTGTACGCTACTTTATTTATGTAGAGACAAGGCCTCAAAATATAGTAAATTATCGATTGTATAGATTTACATTTTCAGCTATATATTTTGTTTGGTCCTATCTGGGATACATTGTCCCAGGCCCAATCCATATATTCCGTTCTAGACTTGGAATTTAAGTGTCACTAAGAACTATCATGACGCACAATAAAATTGTCTAAGCATTATTATATTTCTTAAAGTCTTAACATTAGATATTAAGTAGTACATGTACGTGATACTGCCTTGTGAACTTATAGAAGAAAAGTAATAATATGACCACCCTAGATGACTCGGTTACTATAAGATTAAAGTTCTCCCCAATTACAAATTTGTTTCAGTTTGCTGTTTTATGTTTAACCCTCATAATCCTTTGCTATTATAAAGAAATAATTATCTTAGAAATGATACGAGTTTGGTGTTTAACAAGCCATTCAGATCTACAACTTCTAGATGATTTTTCAGTAATTCGTCCCTCAGATCTGGTCAATGAAGTAAATTTCCAACAGCCTACTGGTATTCCAGATCATTCACTGTGGACTTGGACTGTGCAACATACATTTGATAATATACATGATCCTTTGGTTTCTACTAAGAAAATTGACCAAATTAGATTTGAAAAAGATAAAATACCTGGACACTTTTTACAGGGAGATAATGTGGTGACACAGCTATTTCATTAAGTGAATGAGATGGAACAGGGCTTGCGTTCACAAGATTCTATTGGTCATGTTATATGTTATTCTGTAACATAATTAAGTCTGAAATGATAGACATTATTCCTCACAAAGTATTTGCTGACAGGAATAGTATCTCGAACCGTAAACACAAGTGTGGAAAACCTTGGTGGTGTGAAGAATTAACTGGTTTATGGAATTCAGCATGTGTTGCTGAGAAAAATGGTTAAGATGTTCTTGTCCATATAGAAAAAGGCAATTAAGATTACAGTACAATACACATAGAAATTGTTTAAGTAAAAATGTACAGCGATGTAAAAGGAAATACTGGTATACGGTACAGGAAGAGTTGTTATCTTATATTGAACTTGATGAAAAAATGGAAAGATATTGGGAAAATACGTATCAATTTAAGTAAGAATAAGTCTTTTCCTATGGAACTTGTTGATGAGGATGGTTCTATTGTTTCAAACCCAGATAATGTCTTGAAAAGATGGGAATAAAGCTTTAACATTTTATACAATGATGATCAGGGTTTAAACTGTAAGAATAACTGTGTTAATGGAGATGATAATATTTTTCATATTGAAACACATGGTCTAAAATTTATAGTGAAAGTATTTTTATTTTGAGGTAGAAAAAGCTATTAAGAAAGCTAAAAATGATAAAGCTAGTGGTTTTGATAGCTTACCCTATGAAATATTTAGAAATAATACCTGTATTCTCATTCTGTAGAGTTTTTAATGTTTGTTATGAAACTGGTAAGATACCAAGATACTATGACAAGTGAATTATTAACCCTATACCAAAATCTAATATGTTAGATCATAGAGACCCTCTCTCATATAGAGGGATAATTTTAGCGGCAAGAATGTACAAGTTGTATTGCTCTGTTTTAAATGATATGCTTTCAAAATGGTTGGAAAACAATGATAAGCTTGCAGATGAGCAAAACGGTTTCAGAAAGGGGAGAAGTACAATTGATCATTTGGCAAGTTTGACATCAATTATTGAATCGAGACTTAAATAAACGACTACCTACAATTGCTGCATTTAAAGATTTTCAAAAAGCATATCATAGAATCGATAGATCCACTTTGTGGAACAGTATTGCTCGAATGGGGGTAAATAATAAAATGTTGAAAGCTGTTATGGCACTTTATACACATGTTCAGTCTTGTACTAGGTTAAATGGATATATATCTGATTGGTTCAATATAAAGTTTGGTTTAAGTCAAGGGTGCATTCTTTCACCTGTACTTTTTAACTGTTTCATAAATGATTTAGCCATATAATTGAATGCATTAGGGCTTGGATCGAAATTTAAAATGGTAGTTGTTTATCAGTTTCAGTTTTTATTTGGCAAATCGGCATATTTAACATACCTTTGGCCAATTTAACAAATACAAATGACGAATATGGCCAAGACATATAACATACATAGTTTACAAGATAAGCATATAAACATATAAACAAACGTGTACATTTTCAAAGTTCAAGAAGCAGCTTCCGTTTCTAGACATATCTTCCTTAACTGGAAAGCCTCATATATGTATTTTGCAGTTTTATACAGCTTACATTTTCTACTACAAGACATAATATTAACAAATTTATGTACATTGGGCCATGAACAATTACCCAAATATTTAGCTCTCAAATCAACATATGCAGGACAAGTTAATAAAAAGTGATACTCCGATTCAATCATTTTTGTATTACACATTTTACAGAGTCGCTCGTCTCTTTGTGAACCACTAAATCTTCCAAATTCAATTTCTAGGTTGTGAGAACACATTCTGAAACATGTTAAACATTTTCGTAATTTATCATTTCTTATAATGCTCAGATATCTTTCATAACCAAAACATATTTTATACTTTCTATAGTAATCTAATATAGACATATTCAATGTTGTCTCATTCCAAGATTGTATAAACTGATCTCTAATACGTTGTTTCATAGCATGAAAATAATTTACATCTTGCCTAAAATTCACTAGAAGATTACTGTAGCCTAAATTGTCAATCAGTTGTTTAATCTTATAGGCCCAGCAATTCACATTATTTCCATTGCTAACATCTAAATATAATCTATATATAGGTGAATCCTGATTTTTCATTATTTTTAAGCAATATTTAATAGCTCTTTCTTTACAAATAACAGAAAGTGGGTACCTACCCAGTTCACCAAGAACAGCTAAATTAGGTGTTTGTTGTTTAACACCCAAAACAAGTTTACAAAATAATATATGTATTTTATCTACTTCATCAATGATGTTATATGCAGGTGATATAGCTTGATTGCAAAGAATGAACACAATTTACAATTGATGTTAGACTGTCTATGTGAATGGTGTCAAAATAACCACATGTTGATCAATATGACCAAAAGTAATGTTGTATACTTTAGGACAATGTCTATGCAGAAATCTCAGTTTGTATACTTCAGTACACTCAAAAGTATACCTATCTTGGTCTGACACTAAATGAATTTTTAGATTATAAAGTGACTGCTTAGTTTGTGTCACAAGCAGCAGGAAGGGCCTTATTATTACTCATAGCAAAATTCAAGGCAATAGGTGGAATGCCATTTCATGTTTACACAAAATTCTTCGACAGCCTAATTTGGCCAATCATTGCATATGGTGCAGGCATCTGGGGCACTAGACAGTTCAGTTGTATAGATGCAATACAAAACAGGGCCATGTGTTTTATTCATGGGAACTGGTAAATATACACCTAAACTTGCTGTTGCAGGTGACATTGGCTTGGAGCCAACTTTTTCTAGACAACTGAAATGTGAAATGAACTTGTGTTGCAGATTTTCAAAAATGTTAGACAGAAGAATAAATAAAATGGTGTACAATGATGATTGTAAACTTTTATCTGGAATGCATTGTAAAAACTGGCACTTTACAGTAAATGAGTTGTTAAAAAATATCACTGTAGTGAATATATTGATGTAGAAAATGTACATTTATATAAGCAGACTCTATTAGAGAAATTGCAAATAAACTTTTTTTTACCAGTATCTAGATAATTGGATTGAATCTTAACATGAGTTATACTGTTCGCGTGGGTCTGGAAGTAATAAATTGAGAACATACAGGCATTTCAAATTTGATTTTGAAACTGAGAACTATATCAAAGTACTGCTTCCATATAAGCATAGATCAGCGCTTGCAAAATTTCGGTGTGGAGTTGCTCCAATTAGACTAGAAACTGGTCGCTATGAATGACTAGCAGTCAATGATAGAATATGTCCATTGAGATATTTTAAAGTGTAAAGAATTAAACATCTAAGCTGTTTTAAAGTATTGTAATAAATTAAAGTTCTTATCTAATAGTTGAGTACTATTATCAATCAAACAACGACTGTTGTGTATTTTATTTGATCTTACTGGACTGCTCATATATGACTATGTAAAATACCTTTCTATGTTAGGTTTAATCTGATCTAACCTTTTAAATGTGGATTGTATATTATGATACTTGTAACAACATACATATACTATAGTATACTATAATTCTTTATAAGAATGACCATTTACATGTATTTTAAGTTTTATTGAATGTATATTTGTATTATATGTACATGTAATGGATGAGACTGAAATAAACTAAATAAACAAATAAACATTGTTTGTGTGATTTTTGCTAAATTGCTCAGTAGCAAAATGTTTTATTGAACTTGCTCATGGGCCTTGTTATATCTTTTACAATTTAATGGCATGTAGAACTATATTAGAATTAACAAGCAATTATCATAGTATTGCAAGCAATCCATAAGTCCCCTACCGGTTAGAAACCCAGCAACATTCTGAAGGGCCATTGGCTATTCACTTATGTTTCTATATTAAGTTAAATTTGTTGAAAAAGTTCTTTAAAAGTGATCACAAGAAAATGTTTTTATATACAGACAGACAGACAGACTGAATGACACTCTGTAGTTATTTTTTTAAATATCCCTGTTATCAAAATATAACATTTTTAAAAGCCAACTTCTTAAAAAGGAGATAACTCTTGAAATAAAGATGCAAGACGTCATACATGATGTGAGTGTAACAAAGAACAATTAGTAATGAAAGTGTTGATAATGAATGTTAATTTTGAATTTGAAGTAAAAGAAAGTTAAAAGAATGAATAAGAAAAATTCAAAGTTTAAGGAGGAGATGAATCTGGAAATATGGATGTTAGATTTATAAACCTTGTTATATTATTATGATGTAGCAGTTTGAAGAAAATCGTATAATAATTGAAGAAGTTGGAGTAAAAATTACCAATGTCTCAAAAAAGTCAAGTTCAAAAGGGGCATAATTCTGGAAATAGTCTTTCTAGAGTATTGAACTTCCTCACAAATGTTGAGTGATAATAAGAAACATATAAATGAAGTTTGAAGTAGATACATTCAGAAATAAAGAAGTTATTAAAAAAAACAATATTTTTTTCATGAAAATTCTAAGTTCAAGGGAGGAAATTCTGATAAATTTTGTGCTAGAGTTGTAAACCTTGTCACATGTGATGTGGTTGATGACTAGAAACTTATGTTTAAAGTTTGAAGAAAACACCTAAAGAAATAAAGAACTTATAGTGAAAAAGCGTAA